GCAGCGCTTCACTGGGACAGGGCATCAGAGCAGAGGTGTGCCCATGCAGATGCCAGCAAGGTACAATCATGCCTACCTTCAGCCCCCTTCACCTTATGCCACCTCTTTGACTGTCTGTTTTGTCTATGTTGTACTCATCTGCATGAGAGGTGTCATGGTTTCTCTTTTAAGCATTGCCACCCTCACCATTTGGATACAGCAGCGCTGTCCCTTTTGAATGCACTCCTACGACAGCACATTTACATGCACAATCAGGGATAGGGTTTGGAAAGAGCACCCCTTTATAGCCGACCTGGCAGAGATGCATTTATATGTTCATGTGAAGGTGTGCACTTTCCAGAAAGAAGCAGAAAAAGCAGATTCTTTTTGAAGCAGATTTTCTCCCCATATGGGAGCTTGAGGGCGCTTTCCAGCTGGCTTCAAAGCATGCATCATCTAAAAGTCCCGCCTTCAACCTGGCCTGAGAGCACCCTATTTTGCCCATCTGTTTTGCCCCTAAGTTAGTCTCATCACAAAGCAGTTAAAGACCACCCCTTCCACCTCACCTCAGGCTGTGCTCCTATTCACCCTTTCTGCCTGACTATCCAGATGTTTTCTCATATCCTATCAATGTTTTGTCACTCCAGAGTTAAAGCCATCAACCATTCTGGAGTCCTTTTGTCAATCTGATGGGAAAACTGTCAAGTCTTTGCTATACCATTTGGTAGCAACAAACATCCCTCCAGAATATGAAATAAGATATAAATATCAGCCCCAGCTCTAGCCTCATGTGCGCACAGAGGGTCCCTCTCACTCACTGTCTCACCTCAGATGCTAGCTGAACCATTCCATTTTCTGTGGACCTACCTTCAGGACTGGTAATTATCATCCCTCTAATTCCCGATCTCTCCCTATCCAACCTTTCATGTTTCTTTCTGTTAGCCTTTTTTACGGTTGCATTGGTTTGTATGTTTCTGTGCACATTTCTAAATAAAACCCTTCTATTCACTGAAAATGGAGTCTCTCTGCAGTTAGTACTGGTATACAAAGATGAAATGATCCCTAACATTACCCTCCTCTCACAGGCCTTCTTTCTGAGCTATAATTTCCCCAAAATTCAACGGAGATGCTGGACTGGTGGGGACCTCCATGTCCTCCCACCTTTTAGGGGAAGACATGACTGAGTGGGGATTTCATCTCTGGCCTCCTGACGTCCTACTCCAACACTCAAACAACCATACCATGCTAGATCTCTTATTCTATAACAATATAATATGAGTAAGATTCTATAAATGAAGCAACATCTGGTAACTGGGAAAGGGGAAAGAAGATGCTACTCTCCCACTATTCAACCCTAATCATTGCATGAGTCAAGATACTATATCAATGCTCTATTGGTAACTTTGGAAAGCACAGCCATTCAGCATGGCAGCCACATTCCCAAGATGTAGGGCTGCTGTATTGAACCATTTCAACAAACCAGTTCTAGCAATTTTAATCTCCAAGGGAAGCAGATCTTTTGCAAAACCAGTGGATCTTAATTGCTTGTTCAAAACCAAGCCATTCCCAAATAGTTCATAACAATATACTTTTGCAGAGAAGAGTCACCCTCTCTCCATTTTCAATCTGGGGAGTGCAGGTGAACTCAGAGGGAACAGAAAACCTACGGGAGATGAGTGATGATGTAATCATCATCCCTACTAATCCTAGAAGTCCTAGAAAAGATTTCAACAACTGTGAGCCATGTATGCATCATCAGGCCATAAAGAAACATGCTCCCAGAATAAAGAGCAGCAATAAACAACGTTAAGTGCTACTTAATTCCTATTAATGAACTCTAGAAGATATGGGGGTGTGAAGACACTGCCAAAGAATTTAGAAAAATTTCTAGCAAAAGAAAATGTGAGGACATTTTCAAAGCAGTGACTCTCCTTCCAAAAGAACAAAACAAAACCTGAACAGCAGGATGGTCTTTTCCCTTCCCATTTGCTCCTCACCCCAATCTTGAAGACGCCTCCCCTACCAGCAGCAGGGAAATCAATTCACAGAGCTCCCAAGACCAGGGTTATAAAACCAAAATGTAAGAGGAATGTATACCATGGAGATCACAAGACAGGGGCAGTGACTGAATGGTAGCAGAAGTCCCAGGTTCAGGTTCAGTCGTTTGTATCTGCAGTAAAGGTATCACATAGCAGATGGCAGGAAAGATTCCCACACAAGAGCCTGGAAAGCTATGGATAGATTATATAATACTATGCCAGACAGATAAGCAGTATGAGTCCAAATAAGATGCATCACTGTGTTTTCAAGATATCAGAATAAGTCGCGTACAAGGCAATCCCATTGTGGGCTACAACATTATTCATCAAAGCAACTTTATATTCTGTTTTATTGTTTTACTCTTGCATTTTATGGCTTTAACCACAAATTGTCCAGACTGTCAGACCACCTCTACCCGACCCAGAAATGAAATGCTACAGACCCTGGTGGTGCAGTGGTTAAATACCTGTAGTGCAGCCACCCACTCACAGACCACAAGGTTGCGAGTTCAGTACTAGCCAAGGCTCAGGCTAGACTCAGGCCTGCATCCTTCCGAAGTCGCTAAAATGAGTACCCAGCTGTTGGGGGCAATGAGCTTATAGTTGTAAACCGCTTAGACATCCCATAGCGTGATATGAAGCGGTATATAAATGAAGCTGCTTTTTTTTTAATTATACAGTATGTCCTAAGAAATATCAGCAAAAAATGTTTTCATTGTGGAATGGGGGAGATGAGTTTGTGCATTTCAAAAGTCAGCACAGGACAGAAAAGTTGTTAGATCTAGTATTTAGATCATATCCCAGCCTAGGAAGAGCATGTGATAGTTTTGTTCCAGAAAAATGTATAATTTAGACCAGGGGTAGGCAACCTAAGGCCTGGATGTGGCCCCCTAAGGCCTTTGGACTGGCCCGAGGCTGGTCCTGCCACTGCCGCCACCACCCCCCGCCGCCCGCCATGATGATATTGATTATTGTTGTTATTACTTATTTTTGGGGTTTTCTTGGCAAAATCTCCACAGGGGTTTTGCCATCATGGCTTTTTTGGGGCTGAGACAGTGTGCATGCATCCCTGCTTGTTTGTGGGCCTGCCTTCCGTCGTTTCCATGATGATAATGATTACTATTGTTATTACTTGTTCTTGGGGTTTTCTTGGCAAAATCT